TGGGCGACAGAGTGAGACTCCAACTCAAAAAAAAAAAAAACAAACTAATCTCAAAATGGTTTTTCTACTTCCACGTTTCTATTCCTATCTGGTAATGGTTAGTACTATTTCATTTTCCTCTAAAAACACCAGCATATAGGGCTCAAAATATAACTTTCCCAGAGCAGCCCCTTGGTAACCTAAAATTCTAACTTTTAAAAGAAAAGAACCAGATCTGTATAGTGGAATGTCCTCACCACCCCCAATATCTGAGGAGGACTTACTCAAAGAATCGTCCTTGGACATTATATCTCCAGTCAGGATTCTCAAAAAATGTGGAAGTTACAAAATCCTGCCAGTTCAGGCTAAACTCTGAAGCTGCAGGAAAACTTTGCACCCTGACAAAGGCCTGCAGTTAAGTCCTGCTGGTCACGAGGTGCTAGCATCCTCGTGATAGCAGGGCTCATCTTGGAATGATATCAGTGTTTCCCTGAGTCCTGCATTTTGCAGTTAATCTTAAATGCAGGGAGGGAGAAGGTCTGGGAGAAAAAGGTTAACCTGCCAAAAATCCCAAAGCTCAGTTTGCTATATCCATCAAATGGATATTTTGAATCACAAAACTCTAATCTCTGTATTTCGGATAAATCCTTACAACCTCTAATTTGAAAAATAAAAGCTTTCTTTCCATAGGGAGCTGACCATGTCATCTCAATAAAGTGGTCCTGACCTGATGAGATTTATAGAAAAGGAATAGACATTCCAAAGGAGAATTTCAGATTTAGGAAGGAACAAAGCACTCAAGAAGCTCCAATCAAGCACAGTGTATAAAGTATTCGCCCTGTAGTTTATTGCTGCATCAGGAAATGTCACAAGTAACCAAAACACTCCAGAGGTTATTTTGCTAGGTCTGGGAATAATATTGCCCTTGCAGGCATTACTGCTATAGAAACCAAACTTATAGGTAATCTTGGCTCAACTCAGAATTGAAAATAAGATATGAGGCAGGCAGGCCTCTGTGGTTATAAATCCATTTTTCATTTTTAGTTTAAGTCACCAGATGGTGACTTTTGAATGGAGTTGTTAGAACACATGACAAGAGGAAAAATACGGCAAATTTCTGTTTCTGACATAAACCTAACTCCCAAAAGAATTAAACAATAACACAAAGCTGTAAGTTACCGTCTGACATCTTCTGTTCAGGACCCAACACCATGGTGGATACCTGAGTGCCTGAGTTCTTAGAGTAGGATTCTGGAAAGCAGAAAAGGGAGGGAAGAGAATTAGCAAGAACAAACTAACAAGTTCAGAAACAGCATTTGGTTACTCTGTATGACTGAACCCTTACTATATAAAAGGATAATTCTTCTACTGAATTAGATAACCTTGAAAATAATTACAGTTTTCAGAATATGATTAAGAAACATTTAACAAAAATAGAAAAGTCTTAATCACATTTGTCCTGGCAAGAATTTAGAACCAAATTGAAGTGAACCAATATAATTTGTCTAGCAGGCTTTCCAGATTTCACTGTAAAATTCCCCAAATTAGCCAGGCTCGGTGGCTCAGCCTGTAATCCTGCACCTTTGGGAGGCTGAAGTGAGTGAATTGCCTGAGTCCGTGGGTTCGAGACCCACCTGGGCAACTTGGCGAGACCTTATCTCTACAATAAATCAAAAAATTAGCCGGGCATGGTAGCGCGCGCCTGTAGTTCCAGTTACTCGGAAGGCTGAGGCGGAAGGATCGCCGGAGCCCAGCAGGTCGAGGCTGCGGTGGCCGGGAGCAGTCACTGCACTCCAGTCTGGGCGACAGAGTGAGACTCCAACTTAAAAAAAAAAAAAATTCCCCAAATTGAAGCAGGAGGTGTTTCAGTGAGACAGGCAAATACTTTTTAATAAGCAACCACAGAGAGGCTGCTGGGCAATTACCCAGTCTCTTTGCCTCCAGATTACCCTGAATATTCAAACCAGACTGATTTCCCGTGTTTTATGAGTTTTTTAAGGAAAGAGATCTCTCTTTGCTCTAACAATTTAAGCTCATGGTTCAATCGTCTAGAAAGGGCAGAAAAAAGCATTGTGGTCGTGGAGGGCCACGATTCCACAGTCTTAAATTTTCCTGAGGAAATACTAGAGCTATAACGTTCCAGGCCTCGTTCCCCAACCTTCTGGCAACTAGAAGAAACTGATCACCCATGGCCCAGTCCCTCCCAGGCTCTCAAGGAGAGATGAAGCACCAGCAGGACTGGGCACAGGGTGCGGACGCCAGCACTTCTCAAGGTCCTATAATGAGCAACCTGCGGGAAGAGGGCTCCCAGATGTCCCGTATCCTGTCAGGTCAAATTTAATGGGGGGAGAGGGTGGTAATTAATAAGCTCATCTAAGCCGGGCTCGGTGGCTCAGCCTGTAATCCTGCGCCTTTGGGAGGTTGAGGTGAGTGGATTGCCTGAGCCTGCGAGTTCGAGACTTGCCTGGGCAGGACAACTTGGTGAGATCGCATCTCTACAATAAATCAAAAAATTAGCCAGGCATGGTATCGCGTGCCTGTAGTTCCAGCTATTGGAAGGCTGAGGTGGAGAGATCGCCGGAGCCCAGCAGGTCGAGGCTGCAGTGGCCGGGAGCGGCTACTGCACTCTAGTCTGGGTGACAGAGTGAGACTCCAACTCAAAAAAATAAAAAAAAAAAAAGCTCATCTAGTCACAGACTTATGGCATATTCTCCAGTCAGCCTCAACAATAAAGCAGATTAAACAAAAAAGTTAGGCCAAGCTCGGTGGCTCAGCCTGTAATCTCAACAATTTGGGAGGCCAAGGCAAGTGGATTGCCTGAGCCCGTGGGTTCAAGACCAGCCTGGGCAACTTGGTGAGACCTCGTCTCTACAATGAATAAATAAAAAAATTAGCTGGGCGTGATAACACGTGCCTACAGTTCCAGCTACTTGGAAGGCTGAGGTGGAAGGATCACTGGAGCCTAGCAGGTTGACGCTGGGGTGGCCATGAGTGTACCACTGCACTCCAGCTTGGGCGACAGAGTGAGACTCCAACTCAAAAAAAAAGTTTTCCTTATAATAAAATCTACTTCTCAGCGGATTTCAAATTTAGAAGGGAAGGACAAGGTAATATCTATTAATAACCCCCTCCAGCGATCCTTCTGCCTCAGCCTTCCAAGTAGCTGGAACTACAGGCAGGCGCTACCATGCCCAGCTAATTTTTTGATTTATTGTAGAGATGAGGTTTCACCAAGTTGCCCAGGTGGATCTTGAACCTGTGGGCTCAGGCAATTCACTCACCTCAGCCTCCCAAAGCGTGGGATTACAGGCTGAGCCACTGAGCCCAAGTCCTGAAAAGGATTTTTAGGTTTCCTCTGTCTTCTGGGATATATATACCACCACCTGCTAATCTGAAAAACATAATCCTTCCTTTCTATAGTCACCAATGCCAAGTGTTACAACAGACAAGCAGCCATGTCTCTCCTGGCAAGATTTTATTTTTCCTATGTTTCTTAGAAACAGTCAAATCCTGTCATGTTTTAAGCCACTACATGGATAAATACCAGCCAACAGATCCTCATAATATTGGCTAAATCCCACCCCTCTTTCAGCTAGTTATAATAGCATCTCACTTAATTGGAATTTCTATATCTGACCACTCAGTAGCAATACTCACTTAGATTCCAATCACAGCACATTCCTAAGGCCTCCTACAGACTTTTTACTTTTGTTTTATATATAATTCTTTCTCTCTCTTTTTTTTTTTTTTTTTTTTTGAGTAGGAGTTTCACTCTGTCACCCAGGCTGGAATACAATGGCACACTCATAGCCACCGCAGCCTCGACCTGCTGGGATCAGGTGATCCTTCTGCCACAGGCACAAGCCACCATGCCCAGTTAATTTGTTTTTATTTATTTATTTATTTATTTATTTATTGAGTTGGAGTCTCACTCTATCACCCAGACTGGAGTGCAGTGGCTGCTCCCGGCCACCG